TTGTCATTTTCTATGACCTCCCCCTGCGACCACCACACACTATTATAATTAAGCTCTAAGGGGCAGGAATCTTTGTTCACTTTACTACTATGTCCTAGTGTTTGTTGAATTAATGCATGAACTAAATAAAATGTCACTTCTTCAGGGTCCTCCCCAGGCCACTGCCCTGCAGTACCCTCTACCTTATTTTATCTTTTCCTTAGTGCTTCATAATAGCTATTCCTTAACACATTTATTCTCTGTCCCCAACCCCAACAGAATGTAAGCTCACACAAGCAGAGACATTTCTTGCTAACTGCCACATCCCCACAGTGAAGAACAGTGCCCAGCCCAGAGCTCTGCACCCTTCTGCCTATTTTAACCTCCACCCAGAGATTCTGGATTTCCATCACTACCCGGCTCTTCCCTGTTCTCTCAGTGTGGAGTATCATGAAACGTGATGGAGCTGGACCCACCATCTCTAAGGTGTGCTCCTCCTCACACATCCTAAAATGCCTTGCATTCCTTCTTAAGGCTCTTCCTCTGAGCCCGCCACGGGCAGCTCGGGCAGAGCCAGGGGGTCACCTGCCTAGACTCCCTGGTGTTTCTGGAGTCCCCCGAGGCCAGGAGCAGCTCTGCCTCTAGAGGGCAGCACTCAGCGAGATCCCGGTGAGCCCGCCCAGGCGCCAGCTCCAGTGCTCTTTCAAGCTCTGAAGTCCCTGGAGTCTGGTCAGGAGGGCCATCTTCAGAGAGCACACCTTTGCTGCCCTCTCCATCCATCCCACAACGGCTGGGGCCGGCTAGGTCCCAGGCCAGTGATGAAAGACAGCCCCTGCCCCAGGAGCTGCCCGCAGCTGGGCTGGGGAAGTAGGGGTGTTTAGGGAAGTGCCTAGCTCAGCGCAGGGCAGGACAGTTTTCTGGAGGGGGTGGTGTCTGAGGACCAACGGATAAACGGGAATTCGTGGGGGACAGGCAATGGAGACACAAAGAATGAGAAGCGCAGGCGCAAAGGTCCAAAGGTGAGAAGGGCAGGAGGTGTGGAGAACTGCATGTGGCTGGATTTCCTGGGTGCAAGAGGTCTCATGTGCTAAGGCGCTTGCCCTTTAACCTGACGCGGTCCCTAGGAAGGCTTTAAGCAGGGTGGCAGCCCGGGCACAACTGTGCTTTGGAAAAAGAGCTTTGGCAATACGCTGGAAGGATGGAAGAGGCAACGCCTGTCAGGAAAACCAGTTAGGAGGTCACTGCACTAACAGAAGAGAATGTAGTCCTGAACTAAGGCAGAGGAAATCAAGGAGTAATTTGGAAATGACCTGTAAACAGAAAAGGATGTGGTGATAAATGGAGGCACACACAGGGGCTCTGGAGTCAGCCTCCAAGATGGCTCTTGGGCAAATTGCACTTGTGCCTCAGCTTCCTCATCTGTAAAACAGGAATGACAGTAATAGCACCTGTCTCAGCATTGGTGGAGGACTGAAGAAGTTAATACTATGTAAAAGCTTATGGTAGAGCTTGGTACTAGTCTTACTCAGAAAATGTTAACTATGATTATGGAGCTCAGAAAAGAGAGAAAAGGAATGTCTACGTTGACTCTCAGGATCCTGATCTGGACAAGTAGATGTGCAGTTCTCAAAGTGTGTTCTGTGGCTATCTGGGGGTCCCAAAGATCATTTCTGATGAAATGTGAAGTCAAACTATTTTATAATGAAACGTACTTTATTTAGTCAATAATAAAATTAAGACATCTGCCCTTTTACTGTGCTAACACTCTGACAATGCAAAAGCAATGGTTAAAACTACTAGTGCCTTGGCTGGGTGCGGTGGCTCACGCCTATAATCCTAGCAGTCTAGGAGGCCGAGGCAGGTGGATTGCTCAAGGTCAGGAGTTCAAAACCAGCCTGAGCAGGAGCGAGACCCCGTCTCTACTAAAAGTAGAAAGAAATTAATTGGCCAACTAAAAATATATAGAAAAATAAAAAAATTAGCCGGACATGGTGGCACATGCCTGTAGTCCCAGCTACTCGGGAGGCTGAGGCAGAAGGATTGCTTGAGCCCAGGAGTTTTGAGGTTTCTATGAGCTAGGGTGATGCCACAGTACTCTAGCCCAGACAACAGAGTTGAGACTCTGTCTCAAAAACAAAAACAAAAAAAACTAGTGTCTTAGCATAAATTAAGGCAGTAGCACCAAACTACACTAGTAGTCATATTCTTCATTGCCATTCACCCCAAGTTTTAAAAAAGCCAGTTTCATTTAAAAATGCCCTTGATGAGGCAATAAAAGGAATAATTTAATTAGTAATACACTGCTAAAGTTGGATATTTTTTCTTTAGATGTATTGTAGATAAGCACAAATGATGAGCAAGTTTTATTAAATGGGAAAAATGTTCTATTCCTTATGTGAGAATACTGGTTATCATTAAGCAACATTCATTCAATTCAGTCCTATGGCAATAAAAATCATTAATAAAAATACCCTGGCCAAACAAGATAAAGTATTACTGAATAATAATTCAAAGTATAAAATATCCATGAGTGCATACTGATAGGAATAAATGATTGAATAAGTCAATAAATGGAGAAGAAACAAATCTCCAATGCAGAAGAAATTCACATTATGTACATACTTCACCCTAAGAATGGAGGAGCATAACTGCCCACTCCTTAGTGACTGCCTTCCAAAGAGCCCAGTATGGAAATGAAGAAAAATGAGTAACCTTACAATGGAGAAACCTGACAAACACCACCTCAGCCAGGTGATCAAGGTCAACATCAACAGTGACAAATCATGACAACAGTATGTACCTTTAATATAATGCGATGAAAATGGCATTTTACCTCTCTATCTTCCTCCTCAAACCCATAACCCCAGTCTAACCATGAAAAAAAACATCAGATAAATTCCAGTAGTGGGGCAGCCCACAAAATACTTGTCTAGCACTCCTCAAAATTGTCAAGGTCATAAAAAACAAGTCTGGGAAACTGTCATAGCCAAGAGGAACCTAAAGAGACATGACATCTAAATGTGATGTCCTACCCTGGATGAGATCTGGGAGCAGTAAAAAGGCATTAGGTAAAAACTGGCTTGGATTGTGGTTCATGCCTGTGATCCTAGCACTCTGGGAGGCCAAGGTGGGAGGATTGCCTGAGACCAGGAGTTTGAGACCAGCCTGAGCAAGAGCAAGACTCTGTCTCTACAAATAACAGAAAAGGTAGCTGAGCATGGTGGTGCATGTTTGTAGTGCCAGCTACTTTGGAGGCTGAGGCAGGAGGATCACCTGTGCCCAGGAGTTCAAAGTTGCAGTGAGCTGTGATGACATCACCGCACTCTAGCACAGAACGAGACCCTGTCTCAAAAAAAAAAAAAAAAAATCAAGAGAAAGCTTGTAATCCCAGCACTTTGGAAGGCTAAAGTGAGAGGACGCTTGAGGCTGGCAGTTGTAGGCTTCAGTGAGCTATGATCGTGCCACTACACTCCAGCCTAAGCGACAGAATGAGACCCCTCTCAAAGGATCAAAAGGGTGTGAGAATGTACTTTGCCGGCCCCAAAGCGCCGGTGGAGCACTGGTTCTTTCTAGCTCGCAGGCCCGCATGGGCGGCGCAGCACAAAAGACCGGGCGGGGAGCCTGGGGCCGGGCCGGCGCCTCCAGGTGCATCTCGGGAAAGGCTCCCCGCCTGGGCCGCGACAGCCCGGCCGGGAGCGGCTTCGTGTCCCCGGCCCTCTCCCGTCTGCTCACTCGGGGCCCGGGCCGGCCCGAGCTGCCGTGGGGTCAAGGAAGGCTTCGCACAGCTCCCCCACCCCGGGGGTCTTTGTTCCCGGAGCTGCTCCCCGCCCCACTGCTCCCGCCGCAAACCGTGTTTGCGGAGTGTCCTCCGCACGTCTGACTTCAAAATGCACGCTTGTGGGGGGCCCTGGGGTGGGGGCGTTGATAGATGCAGCGAAGGGACCCCTAGGCTTAAATACCAGGGGAAAGGAAAGGAAAAGCGCGGGCCCGCCTCCTCCCAGTATCGCTCGGAGGCGGGCGGCTCCCTCCCGAGCTGGCGGCTCGCGCGGGCTCCGCAGGGCGCGCAGGCGGCGGGGCGGGGCGGGGAGCGGCGGGCCCAGGGCCTGCACGTGGTGGCGACTGTTCTCGGCCGGCCGGGTCGGCAGAGGGCCACGGCGCTCATGCGGTGGCGTTGGCCCTGGAATTGAAAGTTGGGGGGAGAAAAAGGAAGGGCGCCCCGTGGCGCGTACGTTTCCTGCGCGGAGACTGCAGGGTGGAAGCTGCAGGGCGGCGGGCTGGGGAGTAACCCACCATGGGGAGGGCAACCCGGTCGGCGGTGCAGGAAAACAGGGTTGACACGTACCTCGGGTGTCCGGCTGCAGATGCCTTCCCTGAACGTGGCCGCCCAGAGGCCGCAGAGCCAGCCACAGGCGGTCCTGGGAGCAGAACCCGCAGCGCGCAGGGACGCACGTGGCCCGCCGCGCGCCGAGGCTGTGTTTACATTCTGCAGCCGCTCCACGTTGTGCCGCCGTCCCCGCCTTCCATTGGCCAGCTCGTCACCCAAAGCTTCGCTCCTCCCGGAGGGGCGGGCCCTCCTGGTCCCCGCGTCTCTCAGGAAAGACCCGGGTTCCCTGAGGCCTTGGCGGGACAGCCAGGGCGCGCCACAGATGGCAACTTCCTGGCCACTCCATGCTTGCCCGTGTCGCCTTCCCCTGACTGTACGCCGGGGCTGAGCCGCAGCCTGACACCCCCGGGATCCGGGAGTTGCTGTGGGAGGGGGCAGGCGCGAACTGGCGGGAGATGTGGGAGCCGGGCGAGGGGGAGTCCGGCCGCAGAGGAGGAGCCTCTGAGAGACTCCTTACCGCCGCCGGGCCGCACAAGCAAATGAAGTGAAGTGCGGGGGACGCGGGACGAAGGTCTGGGCGAGCGGACCCTCCAGCCACTCCGGGCGGGCCGGCGCGCACTGAAGGCAAGGCGCGACGCGCGGGCGCGCGGGCGGGCGCGCGGGAGAGGGAGCGCGCTGTCCGGAGGTGTCAGTGTGAGGCGCATGCGTGCGGGGCGGGCCCGGCCCGGCCTATATATTGGGTTGGCGCCGGCGCCAGCTGAGAGCTGAGCAGTAGCGGGTCTGGCGGTGAGGAGGTGCTGGGTGTAGGGGGGTGCGGGAGGAAAGAAAGCCCCGTCGGGCCGATCCATGACCGCGGGTGGGAGCCTCGGGGAGCAGAGGTGGGAGCGCTGAGGACTAGACGACTGGGGGGAAGGGGTCCCCGCGTTCCGTCCCTGTCAGGACCCTTGGCAGGGGACGGGGGAGCGGCGGGGGATGGAGGGCCGCCCCTAAGTGGGAGGCCACGGAAAAGCCCCTCATTTCAGGGGCGTCTCTATACCACCCTCATTTGGGGAGCTAACCCGCAGGAGAGAGGATGGGGGTCTGGGTCCCTTCCTCCGGGAGCAAAGTTCCCGACCAGTCCAATTCCCCCTTTCTTTAAGTCCATTTCTTCTCCCCGGCCCCCCATCTGAAGTCGGGGTGCCAGTGCCCCTCCGAGCGGCGGGCAGGGCCCGTTGGGGCCGCGAAGGAGGGAAAGGAGACTGGAGGACGTGACACCAGTCTCAGTTCCCTCCGCCCCCTGCTTCCCCGCCACTGCCGCTCTCCAAATTGGCGCGGAACCGGCTTCTCCACAGCGTTTCGCCTCCACAACCCCCTCTCTGCGCGGTTCATCCAAGACTGCAGAGGCGACGTGGAGGCACTGCCCAAGCCCCACTCTGGGTGCACGGGGAGAGGGTGGAGGACCCAGAAAAACCCGTTTGGGGGAGCTATGCCTCCCAGCGCGTTCAGGGTGCTGGGGGTGCTTTGTAAATTTTAGAAGACATTCGCGTTTCGGCTGTACATTGGGTTGAGGCAATGCAGGCATGTGTCCAAAATTAATTACTATGAGATAACTAATGTGCAGAAAACAGCATGTAAGCCACCTTCTGAGGGACTTGGCTGTAACCTCCGAATCAGCGTCTAAGTTGGCACTTGGAGAATTTGAATGACAATGTACTTGACTTTGGTTTTCCCTCTCCCCCTTCAGAGGTTTCACACACCTGAAAGAAGAGAATGTCAAGACGAAGGTAACATTATTTGTCTTGGAGCCATGTTTCACAATTAGTTGCTGCCTTTGACTTACTAATTAGACTTCCTTTTTCAAAATTCACCACAGTAGCCGTTTACAAGCTAAGCAGCAGCCCCAGCCCAGCCAGACGGATTCCCCTCAAGAAGCCCAGATAATCCAGGCCAAGAAGAGGAAAACAGTCCAGGTGATTTAAGCAGAAAGAAAGCTGGAGGGAGGAAATTCCTTGCTAGGACCTTAGTTTACCAATGGTCTTTTCTATTTTCCAGGATGTCAAAAAAAGAAAAGAGGAGGTCACCAAGAAACATCAGTATGAAATTAGGGTAATGCAGGACTGGGCTGCGTGGGTTTAGGGGAAACATGCAGGATAGGACGAATAAGAACAGAATTTAACATTACCGCTTTACAGTAGAAAAGATTCCTCTGACACTTAATGCCTCTAAAGGTCAGCAGGAAGGTGCTTATCTTTGGGTGATTTTATATGTGCCTGAATCCTACTACAGCTGCAGAGTAAGTAGTGTGCCTTGAAGCAGCTGGTTCCTTTTTGTAAATCCCTCCCTCTTGGAGCTAGCTGCCTGGTGCACCATGCAGGGCCCGCCTAATCTGTCCGATATACTGCTCTTTGTTCCCTCTCAGACTACAGTAGAGGGTCCTAATAGCTGCTGCTTGGGCATAAATAGGATGTGAGATCACTGACAGCCTGGCATTCAGCCCTTACTACCTCTTCTTCCTATGTGTTGTACAGAAAGCACTTTAGAGACAGCGATTCCTTTTGAAACCAGCATTGTGGGGGAAAAGATCCTTTAAGTAATTGATTCCACTTGATTCCAATTTTAAGATTTTGCCTTCAAGTATTCAAAAGTATGAAAGCAGGCTTAATTTAAAAAAAAAAAAAGTGCCCCTTGTATTGCCAGATACAGAGGACTGCAGTTTTATGATCTTTAAAATGGTTAGTGTTTTAGACTATATATAGATGCACTTTATTATTGCTCTTTTCCTTCAATTCCTAATGTCTTCTATTATTAGAATTGCATTTTGTTGTCTAAAAGATCCTGTTACTCTTTATAAAGACTGATGGGAGCTGTAAGGCTTGCTTATAAAATGTCATTGTCAAATTAGTTTTATTGTCTGCTATGTTAAGCTAAAACTACAGATTGTTTAGACATATTAGCTTTCATTTATGAAAGATACAGGACAAAAAGCTAATAACCTTAGCTTATTTCCCATTGCACAAATAGATTTTCTTGTTCTTTTTTTTTTTAAATGACAGAATTGTTGGCCACCTGTATTATCTGGGGGAATTAGTCCATGCATTATCATTGAAACACCTCACAAAGAAATAGGAACAAGTGATTTCTCCAGATTTACAAATTACAGATTTAAAAACCTTTTTATTAATCCTTCACCTCTGCCTGATTTAAGGTAAGAAAAATTTCAGTAATTTTTCATCAAAGATTAAAATTATACTGATTTAATACATGGCACTATTTTGAGTTATCTTTTGCTTTCACTATAAAATAGAAAAACATAAAAATTGCTTTCTTTACTAATATTTAAGCATGTGTCATTTTATCTGTAAGTAGTGCTATTTGCAAATGATATGAGTATTTAAAACATTGATCCTATAAGATTATTTTCATTTGCTTGCTGAGTGCTGTTAAGACTGAGCAGGACCGAATTACTTTAATGGAGTTTGACTTATCTAAATTGTCAAGATGAAAGCATTTTAACATGTACAGCATTTTCAACTGATGTACCAACCCTATTTATTTAGTACCATGCTTAATAAGGTCTAAACTTTTTTCTAACCCATATGATTAAGAGGTACAGCTTATATAAAACATGCAGTAATTTGTTTGGCTTTAATAAGCAAATTAATGGAATCAGACACTTAAATTCATCAATCCCCCTTCTCCCATACTCTGTCCCACCTTACCCCCACTACAGGTGACTCTACTGTAGATGATCTATTTGCAGGTGATTGAGACTTGTCTCTACTGTGATCATATGCTTTAAATATTTAACGTTTAGTATTGTTATTGAAAAAACATGGTTATCTCTTAAACATAACCTTTATAAATTGTAAGTAGGACAAGAAAGCAATCTTTTGAAACCTACCAATTTAGATTATTATAGTCCAGGTTCTCACTGTATTATTTCCGGTCTCTACTTTCTTATGCAAAAGGAATGGTTTTTAAAAATTAAAGTAGAAATTTTTTTCTAATTTAAGAGCTTTTTCTTTCAAGTTCTAATTGAAAGTTGGATTTCAATGTGTGAAATTGAATTTATTCTTTGTGAAACAGATAGCTTGTATATTATGTAGATCACACCATTTAAATTATGTCCTCCCCCCTTTCCATAGCTGGGGATGTTCAAAGGAGGTTTGGCTAAACATGTTAAGAAAGGAGAGCAGATATATTCATGACAAGCATTTTGAAGTTCTGCATTCTGACTTGGAACCACAGATGAGATCAATACTTCTAGACTGGCTTTTAGAGGTATGTTCCAGCAATATACATTTCCTTTGTCTCTGTATGATGGAAAAATATTTAAATGTAGATTTGCTTTCCATGTGCCCTCTGGGTATATTATCCATTGCCATCAAACCATCTTTTTTGGGTTATTTGTTATAGTTGATGGTACCCAAGGTGGAAAATGTCTGTAAGAGTAAAATCATATGGACACAGCCACTACATACAACCAAACCCAATTCAGAATTCCTGATATCCTTGGGTATTACTATTTACTGGGCATTGTTTTAGGTGTTGAGGATACTTAAGATGAAGGGAAATGTATAGTTGACTAGGTTCTGAATTCTGCTATGCAAAGTAAAGAACCAGAAGAACCAGAACTAGGCTTCAGTGTCCCCAGAAGTCATTTTCTGCATTACCAAAATCAAATTGGAATCCTGATTTCTTTGTCCTAACCCAAACCATAATGAGGCTTTGGATATCTGGGAGCCTTAAGCCCTGTAGGCAGGTTCTGGGTAGCCTCCTTTTATTATGTACTTCTATTCCTTTCAGAAATACACTGTACCATTAAAAGAATAAAAGTGATCCTAAAGCCCCTTATAGATCTATCCCAGATTTTTCTCGTTTAGATCCATTCCCTTTGATAAAAATTCTAAAGTCTCTAAAATTATTACTGACAAAAGGATTACTTATGTTGATGTGAAAATGATTTTCTTCCAACTTTTGTAAATCATTTTTGAGATGATATGATGCATTCTAAGGGAGAAATACAATAGGCTTTTGGGTGGAGTAGCAGATGGCAGAACAGATCTCAGAAGCTATCAGAAAAGTTTTTAAGACTAAAAAATGTCCTTCTGTGTCAGGTCATCTGGTTCCCTATTCTGAGTAGAATGAAAAATTGAATTTTAATAGTGTGGGTATAAGACTTAGGTAGTTGGGGCCAGGTGCGGTGGCTCACGCCTATAATCCTAGCACGCTGGGAGACTGAGATGGGCAGATCACTCAAGGTCAGCAGTTCGAGACCAGCCTGAGCAAGGGTGGAGACCCCATCTCTACTAAATATACAAAGAAATTAATTGGCCAACTAAAAATATATAGAAAAAAAATTAGCCAGACATGGTGGCACATGCTTGTAGTCCCAGCTACTTGGGAGGCTGAGGCAAAAGGATTGCTTGAGCCCAGGAGCTTGAGGTTGCTGTGAGCTAGGCTGATGCTACGGCGCTCTAGCCCTGGCAACTGAGTGAGACTCTGTCTCAAAAAAAAAAAAAAAAACAGACAGACTGACTTAGGTAGTTGGGACTTTTTCTGAGTGTCTAGTGATCATGCAATAAACTTAGGCACAATTAACTTAATTTTTTTTTCCTTTTTATGTTAGACCAAAATTCTTCATCCAGTGGTTATCCTATCCAACTTATTCCTATTTTCTCCTAAATATGATTATATGCAAAAAACAGAATAAATCCAGTAGTGTTAAACTCTATTTTGTCTTAGTATATTCTTTGTATTGGAATGCAAAGATGGTTCAACATTTGAAAATCTATTTATTTATTATTTTAATAGTTAAAATGAGAAAAATCCTAAGATCTCACTAGATTCAAAAGACATTTTTTGAAATTCAACATCCAGTCCTGATTTTAAGATACGTAGTAAGCTAGGAATAGCATATTTCCGTAACATTAAGTGTTTAATAGAAACTCGTGCATCTCTGTCCTTCTATTTCCTCATCTCCCAAATGAGGATAATGGTATTGACTTTATAGAGTTACTGTGAGATTGAAAAGCTTTCCCTTTAAGTATGGAAATGACTGATACTATTTATTATTGACAAGAGTAAAACATTAGAGCAATTCCCATTAAAGACAGACGGGATAAGACATAGGTTTTGTCTATTACCAATGTTACTCATTCGGTATTCTATAATTTCTTAACCAGTACAGTAAAATATTAAAAAAAAAATGAGGCAAAAATGTGAAAAAAGCTACAAAGCTAATAAGTGTAAATGAGGATGGTAATAGATCTGTTTATCCTATTAGTACATGTTAATTTTTTTCCCTCTCCTATCTTAACTTTGGTATCCTAAAAAGCAAAGTTTGGCTAAAAGTATTCTGAAGTCTGGTATGCTAAGAGATGACTTTACAATTTGAAGAAATTCAGAGGATAATATTTAAATGTTTTGATTCTTCACTAGGTATGTGAAGTATACACACTTCATAGGGAAACATTTTATCTTGCCCAAGACTTTTTTGATAGATTTATGTTGACACAAAAGGATATAAATAAAAATATGCTTCAACTCATTGGAATTACCTCATTATTCATTGCTTCTAAACTTGAGGTAAGTTCACAAAGTTTATCCATGGATATATTTATCCCAAACTTTTGTTATTTTAATCAACACATTAATCCCAGAGAATTCTATTCTTTTTTATATTAACTCCTTAGGAGAGGTGAGTGGTTCTGTTCCTTAGTACACTATCTGAACATCATGATGGAGATGGAAAATAAATTATCATAGTTCCCTCTGTACTCTAAGCCCATTATGAGTCTCTGGTTTAGATTCTGAGATTAGTATTACTATATATAGGTGAAACGTTCCATCACTCATTCTGCCAAACAAAACATATTGCTGTTGTCTTTACATACATAATTATGGTGCTTGGATTCCATAGAATGATCTTTGAAAACTAAACAGCCAATCAGATGAAAAAAAATGCTACGGTGGGTTAGAATAATGATTTATCCAGCCTGGATTTTTCAACTTTTTGATGGTACAAAAGTGATACGCATTCATTACACTCCTTGACTCATGATGAGGAGTTACATCTGGATAAGTTGAAAATATTGTTAAGTTGAAAACCCACTAATGATATTTTCAATTTACAATGGGTTTACTGAGATGTAGCCCCATCATAAAGTCAAGAACAACTGTAATTCTTTTATCTCAATATCAATTGTGCTTAATAAAAAAAATTCCAATTTAAAGGAAATCTACGCTCCTAAACTCCAAGAGTTTGCTTACGTCACTGATGGTGCTTGCAGTGAAGAGGATATCTTAAGGATGGAACTCATGATATTAAAGGTAATAATAATTACCTTTATTTCTAGTTGCAACTTGGTAACATAGTAGTTATAACCAAATCTGAAACACTATGATGTAAATAGTCAAAACTGAGATTTTTTAGTATTAGGATCCAGTTCTAAGAGGTTAATGCATCAAAACATTGACAGTTATATATGGCTGGGAGGGGAATTTACTTAACCTCAAGTCTACTATATAATGTGGTATGTGTGCCTCTACTAACTACATTCATTAACAGGCATTTTAAAATTTTGTTAACAGGCTTTAAAATGGGAACTTTGTCCTGTTACAATCATCTCCTGGCTAAATCTCTTTCTCCAAGTTGATGCTCTTAAAGATGCTCCTAAAGTCCTTCTACCTCAGTATTCTCAGGAAACATTCATTCAAATAGCTCAGGTATTGACATTTTTATTGACTATATGCTAATGTTGTTAATTTCAGATTTGTTTAGTTTATATATAGTCTTAAATAGGCTATACAACAAAGTTGTATTGAATTCACTCAATTGACTAGAACAAAACTTTTGATGTATAAAATTCTGTCCCTAATGTTTATGTTGCTTAGTAATTCTAGAAAGCAAAGTCCTTAAACTTATGAGTACTTTTCTTTTTCTGTTGAGAAAGTGTCACTGTGTTGCCCAGGCTAGAGTGCCGTGGCGTCAGCCCAGCTTAGCTCACAGCAACCTCAAACTCCTGGGCTCAAGCAATCCTTCTGTCTCAGCCTTCCAAGTAGCTGAGACTACAGGTGTGCGCCACCATGTCCGGCTAATTTTTTCTATATATTTTTAGTTGGCCAAGTAATCTTTTTTTTTTTTAGTAGAGATAGGGTCTCACTCTTGCTCAGGCTGGTTTTGAACTCCTGAGCTTGAGCAATCCACCTGCCTCAGCCTTCCACAGTGCTAGGTGTTAAAGATTTTTTTAAACTTAATTTCAAATTAAGCTTTCCTAGGACAGCATGTAACAAATATTTTACAAAGTAACTAATTGGAGGAGGAGAGAGGAGCCCATTCTTTCTTGCCTGCTTGTAATATTTTAAGTCTGCTATATCTGCCATATATAAAAGTGAAGAAAATCTACATTCTTATCCTGTGTTAGAATGTGAAAATCTTACCTATGGAATAGAAAGAATTTTTGTGACATTTAAGGATGAATATTAAAGTCACCTAGGTTAAAAACTGTGTTTTGGGTAACCAATAAATATTTTAGAATGGGTTCATTTTGTAAAACTTTCTAATAAAGGCTTATTAACTTGTTCATCAGTCAGAATTCCTAGCATCCCAGATTGTCATAGGCAGTCATACCCTTTTGATAGTGGGTAAACTTTTGATAAATTGATAATGTAGAAACAGTTTCTAGAGGTATACAGCAATATTTCACTTCCAATTCTGTTAGTACTACCTTCTAGACCAATGAGGACAAACAAGTTTTATTCTGCTATATGGGTATCATCTCAAACCTCTGAAATCTAGCCCTTTAATACCATTCCACTGCTACTTGCTCAGCTCTCTTACTGCCTGGATTATACTGCCTCTTAACTAATTTCCCTGTTTATAAACATGTTTCCTCCTAGCTGCTTAAGACTAAGCTATCTTTCTTAAATTGTAACTTTCCTGATTTAAAATCTTCCAGTGGTTTCAGTAATCAGCCTATGAAGTTCTGACTTCTTAAAGACCTTTTGTGATCCAGTCTAGACTGCCTCTCTCTAGCCACCTATCTCCCCGCCCCCTTTGCTTGCATAAGAAATAAAGGAAAGGTACTCCTTGCTTATTTCATATTTTTCACCTTAGAAGTTCTGAACTACTGGGAACTACTTCAGTTTCAAGTAATGTTCCTATACCTAGAACATTCTTTACCTTCTAATATTCCTGGCTACCTTATCTTTTAAGACTCATTTAAGGCATCAGAAGCTTTCACTGTCTTTTCCGATCTGGATTAGGTGTCCTTCCTGCTAATTTATATCACACTGCATCACAATAATCCTTTCTTTGTGCCGTTACTCCCTGACATACAATCCCACAATTTTACTTCTTTCGGGTTGGTGGCTTATTCATCGTTGGATCCCTAAAGTTTTAGCAAGAGACATGTAGTATTCATCCTTTTCCTAAATTACTCGTACTTTTATTTTTCCTTTGCTAGCTTTTAGATCTGTGTGTTCTAGCCATTGATTCATTAGAGTTCCAGTACAGAATACTGGCTGCTGCTGCCTTGTGCCATTTTACTTCCATTGAAGTGGTTAAGAAAGCCTCAGGTAAGACTCTATATTTTGTCGTCTTACCTGTTCTCAACTTCTAATGGGACTGTAATCTACAAACTGTAACATCCTGTTCAACATGAATTTAAAACTTAAGCAGAAAAAAATTCACCAGTAGGCCGGGCGCGGTGGCTCACGCCTGTAATCCTAGCTCTCTGGGAGGCCGAGGCGGGCGGATTGCTCAAGGTCAGGAGTTCGAAACCAGCCTGAGCAAGAGTGAGACCCCGTCTCTACTATAAATAGAAAGAAATTAATTGGCCAACTAATATATATATATACAAAAAAAAAAAAAAATTAGCCGGGCATGGTGGCGCATGCCTGTAGTCCCAGCTACTTGGGAGGCTGAGGCAGGAGGATTGCTTGAGCCCAGGAGTTTGAGGTTGCTGTGAGCTAGACTGACGCTACGGCACTCACTCTAGCCTGGGCAATAAAGTGAGACTCTGTCTCAAAAAAAAAAAAAAATTCACCAGTTTAGTGATTACCTTCCTATTAGAAGTACTTTCCAGTCCTCAATGTATAGCTACAAACAATAAGACCAAATGGAATTTAAATCCATTTGGAGTGTATCACCATGATTACAGTTCTGCTTTAAGAGTTTTTGGAGATTTGACAATTTCAACTTTATATGTAGAAGGTACTGGTTAAGAAGTCTGAAGTCTTTTTCCCCTTCAATAGTCATGGTATAAACACAATTTGAAAATGGTAATCTGTTTTGACTTGTTAAACTTGTTGATTTGGATTTTTTGGTTTCTTTTTAAAATGAGTTTTAGAACTAGCTCAAAATTTAAAAGCAGGAACAAGTATATTAGGCACACATAAGACAGTTTCTGATGTACAACCTTCACATTTTTCCAACTTTTTCCTTCTATCTAGGTTTGGAGTGGGACAACATTTCAGAGTGTGTAGATTGGATGGTGCCTTTTGTCACTATAGTAAAAAGCACTAGTCCAGTGAAGCTGAAGACTTTTAAGAAGATTCCTATGGAAGACAGACATAATATCCAGACACATACAAATTATTTGGCTATGCTGGTATGTTTTTTTGGTCTTGCTATCTATATCTATTAAGTCACTGAAACTGATAGGATACTATAGAATACTACTTCAGGCAGTTACATAAGATGGTAGGGGGAAAGGAAGTTCTAATGAGCACACTGATTCCAAAATGTAGTAAAGTTAGTAATACTGCTTTGAAGTCAAAGCAATATTTGTAAAGAGTATCAAGATCAGTGCCAATAGTCTAGATAAGGATTAAAATATATAAAAAACATGTTATAGGTAGTTCAAATTGTTGAACCTTAGAATGACTATTTTCATTTTCAAAGACATAAAGACACTATATATTAAGCCTGAATGGTCTCAAATAAGTATACCAAGGTCTGACTATCAATGCATGATTTCTTCACATGTATAGGATGAAGTACATTACATAAACACCTTCAGAAAAAGGGGACAGTTGTCACCAGTGTGCAATGGAGGCATTATGACACCACCGAAGAGCACTGAAAAACCACCAGGAAAACTCTAAAGAAGTTAACCAACCCAAATAAGTTGGAATTCACCAAGTACTGGATAGTATTTGATAAAACCAAACTACTAAAGTTTTACAAGAAGATAGTGCTGTGATTTGTCCTGGCCAATTCAGAAGTTACACTGCCATTCTTTGATGAAAAAACTTTAAAAATTGGCACTAAGGAAGAAATTGAATTGTCTGTTAGCTGTTAAAGAAACAGCAGGACTTGTTTACAAAGATGACTTCATTCCCAAGGTTACTGGAGAGAAGCCAGCCATAGCAACCTTTTTTAAGATCCAGTGTTATTATGTTTATCTTGATAAACTAGGAATTTTATCATTAAAGGGTACATTAAGTGATATATACCTTGAATCTACCTTTTAGATTCTCAAAATTCCTACTCTTGACTAGTGCAATTTGGTTCTTGCAAATAAAATTTAAACTTGTTTACAAAGGTTTAGTTTTGTAATAAGGTGACTAATTTATTGATAGTTGCTATAGCAAGCTATTATAAAACTTGAATTTCTACAAATGGTGAAATTTAATCTGTTTTCTAACTAGTTTATTTGCCTTGCCATAATACATTTTTGTAACCAGTAAGGCTTAGATGAACATGGTGTTTAACCTGTGCTCTAAACAATGAGAGTACCAAAGAAATAATAAACAAGATAAATGCTGTGGCTCCTACTTGGGGCTTTGACACATAGGTTGCTTTATAATAACATTGTTGTATGTCACAATTTTGGTGAAAACCTTAAGTACCCTTTCTAATTATTTATGAGAAAGTCACTTTATTACTCTAAGATATCCCTAAGGACTTTTTTTTTAGTGTGACTAAGGCTTTATTTAAGTTTGCAAAACTGTTTTAGACAGTGTCAAAGTGACAAAGCTTAACACTTGGCCTAAACTTCTATTTTCTTAAGGCAGAAGAGTATTAAATGTATACTGACTCCTAGAAAAATCTATTTATTAAAAAAAAAAACTTGCTGTATATAGACTAGCTACTTCTACATATATATTTTAAATTAGCTTTTAAAATAAATTTCAGCCTCAAAGTAGATAGATTTAATTAGAAAACAAATTTTTGTTGTCAGACATGTGAATCTCTTCTCCCTTTGAAGAAATTATAAATTTAAGCTATTGTTATGAAGTCTTCTGTATAGTTTTTGTTTTTAAACTAATTTCAGTATTTTGTCTGAAAAGAAAACACCACTAAATGTGTATATATGTATTATATAAACTTAATCTTTTAATACTGTTTATTTTTAGCCCATTGTTTAAAAAATAAAAGTTAAAAAATTTTAACTAACTGCTTAAAAGTAAAGTTTTGCCATTGCTTGGAGAAACTTTTTTTTCCTTCTCTGCGCTGCCAGCTGTAACACTTCTTCTGGGTTGCTTGCGTTCAATTCTGTCTGGCCGATAGCTTTGATCTTCCAAAACAAAAAAGCAATATTAGAGATCTGGTCAAAAATTAAGTCTTGCTGGAATATAGAACATAAAGCTACCTATATGATAATAATGATAGTTTTAATGATTAACTGAAGCTCTAATTGTAAAACCCCAAGAGTTGTGGGAAAAATTAATGTGTAAAAATCAACTACAGCCACTTTTTTTTATCTTTCAAAATCCATTTAAAATTTATTTAATGGGATAATCTTGCCTTGCTCACACCTTACTACTCAAAATGTGGCCAAAGAACCATCAACATTAGCATCAATTGAAACCTTGTCAGAAATGCAGGCCCCACCCAGGTCCAGAGAATCAAAATCTGCATTTGCACAAGAGCAGTGGTAATATGTGTACATTGAAGTTTACCAAGATCCTTGATTTTTCTGCTTGTCTTGGTAATGGAAAGTCCTAAAATGACCTTAGGCCACAGCACATTCAATTTACAAATTAGAATGCCAGTGCTAGATGTTAATCAGACCTCCAATTTTACTCAAAGGTAAGTCTTTGTCTTCTTACTTCCCCAGGTAATTGTCTTGACTTGGAAAGGAGCATGATTGGCACATTCTCACTCTGTCCCCACCCCACCCCCATCTTTTCCTTCTCACATCAGCATGTTTCCTTTGCTTCTCACTTAGGCCAAAGTAGGAGTGTCAGGTCTGGTGGAGGGTAAACAGGTGGCAAAGAAATGGCCAAGAGCAGAGAGCAGGAACCAAATTGTAGGTAGGAACCAAATTACAGCTAAGAACTATTTCCTGGTGGGAATATACAGGATAAAAAGTTCCTAGTAACCTTTAACTGACCTACAGCTCCTTATTATCTAATTAGCATGACTAGAGCCACTCTTACAGAAAAGACTGATTGCTGTAGCACAGTTTATGGAATTATCTTTGGTGACATTTTATCACATGTAAATTTATTTGAAAACATCAGTAAGCAAACTCTACATGGTAATTTGACACATGGCACCTTTTTTTAGAGTTAAGGCTCCTACATATTAGTTTTAAAAAAATCATAATTTATGTTTCTGGGCGTCACTTTTTTAGTGTACAAAAATAGCTAGTTGCTCAGCACTGTAGTAGCATATAGTAGGCCAGCACGGTGAGGTGGGTGGATCGCTTAAGGTCAGGAGTTCAAAACCAGACTGAGCAAGAGTGAGACCCCATCTCTACTAAAAAATAGAAAGAAATTAATTGGCCAACTAAAAATATATAGAAAATATTAGCCGGGCATGGTGGTGCGTGCCTATAGTCCCAGCTACTTGGGAGGCTGAGGCAGAAGGATTGCTCGAGCCCAGGAGTTTGAGGTTGCTGTGAGCTAGGCTGACGCCATGGCACTCTAGCCCAGGCAACACAGTGAGACTCTGGTCTCAAAAAAAAAAAAAAAAAAATAGCATATAGTAGCTCAACTTTTCATGATTAGAAAGAAGTACCTCAACCTACTACTAAATATACATACTAGTTTTCTGCTATAGAGTATTTATATAGTTTAGGACCTTAGAATATACTTTTAGATTAAAAAAATTAGAACACGACTACTCTGATATATAGCTTGAAAGGAGATATGACTATTCAGAAATGATTATCAGTATGGGAGGTTAAGGAATAGGAGAAATTGCTGGGTGATGCCATTTCAATATAAAGAAATGCATGTGGCAAAGGCTTGTAGTAGGTATAACTAGAGTTGTTTCAAACAAACAAGGCAGCCCAAAGACAACTGGCTATAAAAGCCCAAAGAGTGAGACAGAAGAATAGGAGCCAGATATTTGAGAGAAATAATATATCCCAAGTGGGTATTAGTCAAACCACGAGTGGATGAGATTACCTAGGAAGACTGTAGGGTGATCAGAAAATAACCCAAAGACCAATTTTCTGTGAAAACCAAGTTTAAGGAGTGGGCAGAGGGAGATACAAGGAAGAATAGTCAGGGAAAAATAAAATGACAGGGAAGCCAAAGGAGTATCTCAAGAAGGAAGGAGATGTTAACAGTAGGAAAAGGACGAAAAGTATCCACTGGGTTTGGCATTTGGTGACCCTTGAGAGAACAGTTAAGAGTGATGATGGCAGAAGTCAAAGTGCACTGGGCTGAAGAGCTTCAAACTGGGCAGAGAGGTAACGACACAATCAAGAAAAATTAGGCTAGGCCAGGCGCGGTGGCTCACGCCTGTAATCCCAGCACTCTGGGAGGCCGAGGCAGGTGGATTGCTTGAGGTCAGGAGTTCGAAACCAGCCTGAGCAAGAGCGAGACCCCGTCTCTACTATAAGTAGTAAGAAATTAATTGGACAACTAAAAATACATAGAAAAAATTAGCAAGGCATGGTGGTGCATGCCTGTAGTCTCAGCTACTTAGGAGGCTGAGGCAGCAGGATTGCTTGAGCCCAGGAGTTTGAGGTTGCTGTGAGCTAGACTGACGCCATGGCACTCACTCTAGCCTGGGCAACAAAGCGAGACTCTGTCTCAAAAAAAAAAAAGAAAAGTTAGGCTGAAACAGTTTATAGACTATGGGAAAGGTTGACAATATACGTGGAGAGAATTCATTAAAAGGTCCCTGACGGGACAAAAATCAAAAGCATAAAAATTTGCCTTCAGGAGTAGTATAATATCTTTTACTGACTAGCAGAGTGGGTTTAACAGTAAGTACAGCTATAGATTATTTTAAAGGTGGAAAGCAGGGACTTGAAACAGGAATTTGAAGCTGGCACTCATAGAACTGCCATTCCCAAGACTATAACATCTATGGGGACAGGAGCTGTTTAGTCTTTTTTCTGGTGTATCCCAAGCACATAAGAGGCACAGAAGTTACTGAGAATGGAAAAGATAGAGGACTCGGGGCTTAACAGAAGTTTAAAATAAGGAAAATGGAATTGGGCTGACAGAAAAAAAAAACTGGTCACAAACTCAAATACCTTGTTGATTACTAGAAGTCAAGTCAGAGAAGAATAAGTTATTGGCAAAGAGTAGGTTACAGGATAAGATTGTATGTAAAACAACTTTGGCTGACAATAAGACATGGCAGCTTTGGGTGTGGGTGGCTTGCACGGAGTAAGATGACAATGGAACTAAGGCTGGCAAAGACCTGTAAAGCTGTGATAGGTAAGTTCATTACATGTCTCTTGATACATGTAGCAGAATAACTAGGAGGTTACATGAGCTAGTAAGGAGGTATAAGCCTGAAAGGAGAAAGGGCTTCAAAAATGATACAAGCAGAAATGGTTTGGGAATAGCAAAAGAAAGCTGGAAAAATTTCAACATTGACTTCTAGCCCCAGGTAAATTAAAATGAGTAAGTAGCTTCCAATCAAGTGGAACTGGCCTTCATATTTTTTTTTCCTTTTTAAAAAGGTGCTGTTAAAAAAAAAAAAAAAAAAAAAAAGGTGCTGTTGTTATTGTTTCCTCTAAACAATGGATGTACAATTTAGTCCAAAAGTACAGAGCTTTAAAAGACACATAATAAAGAGCATATATTTTTACTAACATGAGTGAAAGAGCAAAGAAAGTATCTGGTGATACAGACGCTGCAAATGTTAGGCAAGTAATAATGGCCATAAAATGTCAAATGTTTTGGCCTCTAAATCAAATTTTATAGTTAATTCATTTATTTAGTAACTACTGGGCACCTACTATGTGCCAGGCAACATTCTAGGTACCAGTATGACAAAACCAAGTCCTTACCCTCAGGGAAATAGACAAAAAATAAGTAAATATATAGTATGTTAGAAGTTGATAAATGTTGTAGAGAAAAATCTACAGATTTACAGGAAATGAGACGACTACTACTACTGTAGGGAAAAGTAGAAATTGTTATAAGATGGTCAGGAAAGGATGATTACAAAGAAGGTGACAACTGAGGAGAGACCTGAGGGAAGTTGGATGTCCCTTGAAGAGAAAATTTCAAAGGCCATTAAGGTGGTGAATGCTGTCAGCATGTTCAAGGAACAGTAGGGGTACTCGTGTAACAGAGGTTATCAAGGGGGAAAATCAGACGGATAAGCTATAGGCCAAGTTATATGCAGCCTTGTGGCCATCATAAGGACTTTGTGTGAGATAAAAAACCATCTGAAGGTTTGGAGCAGAGAAAAAGTAAACACTGATAACCAAATTGTGGCAGTAACTAAGCATGCAAAATCTTTTTTTGTTGCTGGTCCAAATCTTAATTGTTAATAACAATTGTCTAATAGTCTACAAACTAAGTATATTCTAGAAACTGAAGAAAAGCAGAAGGTAACTTACTGCAATTTGTCTTTTATCTGTTTCTCCTCTTTTATGATGAAGGTCTAAATGAATCAGTTAAGAAAAAGAAATCTGATAATATTAAATATCATAAGAGAATCTCAACTGTTTTTCAGTTTTGATTTGGAAAAGACACAATATTAAATACTTCTCTAATTTACAGAAGTGAACTATTCTAACATAACATGCATTGATGGAAGGATACAAGTCAAGTATTCCAAAATGGTAACATCCCAAATGTAGTCATAGTAGGAGTCCATAGCATCATGGCTGAAAAAGAGAATTCAGTTACTTCTTCATTCTTAAACAGAAAAACTTCCACCTCAATTTATTTTAAAAATCATTCATACCTGTTTTGTTCCTGTAGTGATTTAAAGGCTGTTTTGTAGTCAATTTCTCTGAGGAACTGACATAAAATTGCTACCTACATAGACAAAGATTGAAAATGGTTTCATGTAGTAACAACTGGCTTGGTTTTAAGAGGGTAATCTTTAATTATTCTTGTATGAAGAATATATTCTTTACTTTAAGAAGCCATGTAGATCGTGCTGAGTGCATCAGCTCATATTTATGGATTCCATCCATTTTAATTTCAAAAACCTTTACACAAGTGTCTCTTTGACTAATATTGTCTTCATTGGTGACCTTAACCACAAATTTTTAGAGCTTTTGTTTATTTGAATGAGAAGCTGGCAAACAGCCAGTTCAGAAAACTGAAGGGGATGGAAAACTGCCAAGCAAAAGTGTCATGACATTCAAGGACATACAGAACATGCAATTAAACCTTTCACAGCTCCAAGTACTAATGCCCATTTTGGCAAAATTTAGGCTGCCAGTCTGCTTAACATAGAAAACATCTATTTTAATTAGGTCATAAAATTCATCTCTTTAAAAAATATTCTTAATATTTGCTGATAATTCACATACCATAAAAATGATCCTTTTAAAGTACAAAATCCAGTGGTCTTTAGTATTATTCACAAAGTTGTATAACCATCGCCACTACCTAATTCCAAAACATTTTCAATACACCCCCCAAAAAACCCATACCTATTAGCACTTTTCCCTCCCTCTCTCCTTAAACCTCTGGTAACCATTAATTTACTTTCTGTCTCTATAGATTTGCCTATTTTGGACATTTCATATGAATGGAATCATATAATATATGGCCTTCTGTGTCTAGCTTCTTTCACTTAGCATAATCTTTTAAAGTTTATCCATGTTGTAGTATGTGTCAGTAATTCATTCCTTTTGATGGCTAAATAATATTTCATTGTATGGATAGACCACATATTATCTGGCCATTCATCATTTGATGGACATTAGAGTTGTTTCTACTTTTTGGCTATTATAATGCTGCTATGAACATTCATGTACAACTTTTTCTGCGGACATATGATTTCAATTCTCTTGGGTATATATCTAGGAATGGAATTGCTGAGTCATATGGTAATTTCTACGTTTAGCTTTTTGAGGAACTGCCAAACTATTTTCCCAAGGCTGCACAATTTTATATTCCTCCCAGCAACATATGAGGATTTTCTATATCCTCACCAACACTTATTAGATTTCCTTTGATTACAGCCATCCTACTGGGCATGAAGTGGTATCTCATTGTGGTTTTGATTTGCATTTCCCTGATGACTAGTGTACATATCTAATCTTAAATATTAAAAAAAAAATACTTTTTTCCATTTAGGAGATTTAAAGGTCAATGTTTTCTAATTCATACTTTCATTTTAGTTGAACCCCTATAAACTACCAAGAAGAATTTAAAGAATATGCCAAACTCTTAAACACTATAAACTTAAATAACTTTGATATGGAAAATAAAAGCTACTTTCCAATCTAACACTTTATATATTATAAACTCAAATATATATGAAAATAAACCAACAGCATAATATAAACTAACCTGTGTGTGGCAATTCAGCAAAGAACAACATTTTATCATTCGTTTTATTACCTACGAGAACAAAATTCTGATTATTTTCAAAAACTAGTTAACACTGATTGTAACAAATGAACCACTCTGGTACAGAATGTCCACAGAGTGGGAAGCTGGTGGGGAGGGATATGGGAACTCTGTACTTTCCACTCAATGTTGCCATGAACCTAAAAGTGCTATACAAAATAAATTTTAAAAACCCACTCAATTTGAAATCTTATTTCAAGAGCCATTTATTCTAAGTATTTAAAAAATGACATTTGTTAAAGTTATGATACTGGTAGCCTAAATCAGAGGAAATAACAATGCATATCAAAAGAAAATGAATAAAATTTGATACCAGGGCCATTGGAGGGGGAAGAAATTGGGGAGAAGTAGATCAAAGGGCACAAATTTGCAATTAGCTAGAATAAGTCTAGAACTCTAATATATAGCATGAGGACTACAGTTTATAATACTGTATTATATACTAAAAATTTGCTTAGAGTAGATTTTAGGTGCTCTTATCACCAAAAATGGGTAAGTATGGAAGGTGATGGTTGTGTTTGACTGTAATAATCATTTCACTATGTATCTATCTATCAAAACATCACTTTGTATGCCATAAATATATGCCAAAAAATTAGAAAAAAAGAATTGGAGATTTAGGAGATAAAATCCATGATTTAAGAGCTACATAGATGTTGGTGGGGAAAAGAGCCAAAGATGATGCTCAGGATTTGGACTTAGACAACTCAAATGGTTACGTATGGGTATTTTGGAATTTTGAGATTTTTTTAGAAGGGCAGGTGAGTTTATTAGGAGTATTAGAAGTTCATTACTTTATGGTAAAGTAAGATACTGAAATCAGTTTCGGACAGGTAGAATCTGAGGTGTTTTGGGGAAATCACTGGAAATAGGGACATTGAAAATAGGGACAGCAATCTGGTCTAGAGCCATGAACTTGGGTGTTATCATTGCATAAATGTAAATGAGTAAGTTCAGCCAAAAGAGGGCCCAGGAAGAACACATACAGGTAAGCAAGAAACAAGCAAGCCTATGAGAGCAATTTACCTGGTCTGTATACACATCAGGGGGTACAGCCTTATTAAAGAAATCAGAACACACAGCTCCTGCCTGGAGGTAGTAGTGAAGAGCTGCCGAATACTGATTTGTTGCTGAAGTAGAAAACAGAGATAAAGCATTATGTATCATTAGATGTAACAGTTGAAAAAACAGGGCCTCTTTTGTGAAGAGTCAGGTATAACTTCATGAGTTGACAAAAGAAAATTCAAACCATAGGGATAAAATTTTATACTTATTCAGGACAACACTGAGAAATACTGCCTGTATTTTTTTTAAACCACATTGAAGATATGATAGATTCTCTGCCTTCTATAACTGATTAGCCAAAATCTTAGCTCAGATTACTCACAAAATTTACTAGTATAGAATTTAGTATTTAGAGGTATTTATTTCCCAAATGTCCAAACTGGAAACATCCTAATTTTCTGAGGTAGTTCAGAATCAGTATATCTATTCTGCAAATAGATATTAAGAACTTGATAAATTCTTTGGAGGGGCAGGGGTGAAAATAAGCATTAAAATTGGCATTTGTTTCAAAACAATCTGGAGGAGAGTGAAACGATATAGGTAAGGGTACAGATGAAACAAGATTGGCTGTGGGTTAATTCATTAACGCTAGGTAGTAGATACACTGGGGTTCATTACACTATTCCTCCTACCTTTATTTGAAGTTTCCCTTTAAAAAAAATCAACTCCTAAAAACCTGATCCTAAAATGATACCAGTCAGAAATCTTATTTAATCTGCATAGTAATAGAAATACTGAAAATTTCATATCAAGTTGAGAAATCCTATGACACATGGGGGAAGGGGAAGTGGGGGGAGGAGATCAGAAATCTATCTCTAAGAATACAAATAATTATTAAGAGTACCTGGAGAGATTTTAAAATCTTTAAATAGTAACTTTGCAAACAAAACCTACTCTTATTCCTTAAGAATGTTTTACTAATTTATTAGGTGAAAAATTATTCACTATTTGAAAAAAACAAAAAAGGTAGCCAACATAAAATTAAAAACATCTGAACCAAAGGTTCTATACCAAAAACGTGTAAGACAATTATAGTTTTACTGTCTTAATTTTACCAAGGAAGAAGAGCAAATCTCAAGGACAAAACTTAATACAGTTTAATAGAGTACTGTAATAAAATGTGTAATATATTTAATAGCAACCAAACATCTCACTTACCAAAATAAATGTCTGCCTGAATAATTAACCAGGAATGGTTGTTTGGATTTATACTTAGTGTATACCGAACTAGCTCCTTCACTGTGATTGCCACAGCTTCAAAGTCCACAGACTGGAGGCTAAAGGAAGGACACTTAACATTAATCTTGATTTTTAAAAGTCAACTTCAACGTCCATACATATATTTATTAAAAACAAAAAGATTCAGCCAAAATTTAAGTGAACATCAATACAATGATAATTATTACTTAGGAATAAATATATAAGAACTATCAAAATGACTAAGTCTGAGAATGTGTGATAAGACAAGTTTTTATAAGGGTTGAAAACAATCTGATTTTTGTTTCGTTTTTTACAAAATACTAAAGGTAGACTAGACCACAGAAAAAGTACCTTTACATCTTCTACAAATGTTTAAAGCATATAAAAGTGTTAAGATAAAATACTTTATTTCTGCTTTTAGCACAATTTACAGGCAACAAAAGGAAAGAGACAGACTAATAAGATTTCCCCAAATGATTTTTAAGTTCTGTTTTCTGGTAGAGGCCACTAAAAACAAGGGCTCAAACACTAACAATACTGCTATGTGGCCTTACATCTACCTTCTAGCTTCTTGCAGGAGTAACTGACTCCCCAGGATTAGACGTTTCACTGGCCCTGAAGGGGTGTGGGGCTAGATGTAGCAGCATACCACACCAGTGCACTCAGCAGCTACAGGGTCAAGAAAAGGGTAGGGAATAAGGCCAGTGGCTCTGAGCCTGGTTAAATGTGGAAGTCTAAAGATAAAGAATTAGAAGATGAAATTGTGAGAATAAAAGCCAGGGCAGCACCCAAAAAACACAGCTCCTACCTCCTTGAAGCAGTAAAACAGTGGTAGAGTACACAGGCTCTGATTCAGAGACACACAAGATTCAAGTCTCTCTACCATTGACAAGGTGAACTTGGACAAAGTACTTCTGCTGCCCTGGGGGTTAGATTTTACCAGAACTAACGACTGTGCCCAGAACAGTGGGAAAGGAATTGTAGGATTATTAGCAAGTACCCAATTATTTACTTACAACTGAATGCGTTAAATTGGTTTATGATTATATTTTATAGACATTTGCAGAATGTTACAAGTCTAAGAATTCTATCTATATATCAAACAGCTGGCTTCAAAATAGTAATACTTAAAACAACATCATTTTCACTGTTCTTAGAATACTACCCTAAGAATCAATTAAGACTCTTGCTTTTACGTTTTCTGGTCAAATATTTAGCCACATTTTATTTTCTCTGGGTCAATTTAAAGTATTTTTATCATGAAGATAATAGTTAAGTCTACTACATACCAGTCCTTATTTTAAATATCTAGCTTAGAAAATGTATTAACTTATTAACCTTCACAATTCTGAGGAAGGTACTACTACTTTTAAACCCATTTTAGAAACAAGGAACATGGCACAGAAAGCAACTTATCCAAGGTCATATACCTGGTAAGTGGCTGGGACTCAAACCCTTCGAGGTTGGCTCAGAGCCCCTATAGTAAACCATTCTTTTGGCTCATTTATAAAAACACACTGGAAATCAATCATTACACTCTACATTTAGGCCAAAGAGGTAACAAATACAACTGCTGAAATCACCAATTGAAATGGCAAAATTGTCTATACCCGATTCTTAGATTGCTATCTAATATAATAAACTTTATATAAAAATTAGAAACACATTATGATGGAACCTGCATTTAAAATGTTGTGGAGCATGCACATTTGCTTCATGAAGCATGGTGCTCCTTTGGGAAGCAAGCCTCAGTAAGTGGAGGGCAAGGTCACCCACACACTTTGACCCTCCAAATACCCACATGAGACACAGAGCTGCTTCCAATCTCTAAGACTGAGGCGGAAGCAAATTATTTACTCTGATTAATATTCTATTATCTGACTGCCTACCCATTAAAAGCTTTTCTTTTCATTTTCTTCAAAAATGCCACTTAAGAGCAATAAAATAAAGCCTGAACCTGCCCTTTAAACACAAAGTAGGAAGACTGGAAGGGCAGGAAGGAAAAACTTTTATAAACCTTTGATAATCGCAGTATTATAAGAGACCTACAAGGAATTACAAAAAACCAGATACAAATATTCCAATAGATATTTATAAAAGAGAAGATACTGGAAAGCTGATAGTCATTTTTTCCAAGAGATGGGATGTCACTCTGTTGCCCAGGCTAGACTTAAACTCCTAGGCTCAAGTGATCCTCCTGCCTTAATCTCCTTGAGTAGGTGGGACTATACATGCACACCACCATGCCCAGCCAGAAAGTCATTCTTTCATTAGCCTCAGTTTCTGAATTCTACTTAGTGACAAGTAATTGGGACCACTTAGATCTTCTGTTCTCTCTAGGGCTCACATACTTTAGTTCCTACTTAACACTTAACAGCCAGACACAGTGGCTCATACCTGTAATCCTAGCATTTTGGGAGGGCCAAGCAGGAGGACTGCTTGAACCTAGGAGTTCAAGACCAGCCTGGGCAAGATAGCAAGACCTCATCTCTGCAAAATATTAAAAAATGAGCCAGCCATGGTGGCACACACTTGTAGTACCAGCTACTTGGGAGGCAGAGGCAGTAGGATTGCCTGGGCCCAGGAGTTTGAGGTTGCTGTGAGCTATGATGCTGCCACTGCACTCTAGCCCAGGCAATAGAGACCTTGTCAAAAAGGGCAGGGTGTGGTGGCTCACGCCTGTAATCCTAGCACTCTGGGAGGCCAAGGCGGGCGGATTACTTGAGGTCAGGAATTCGAAACCAGCCTGAGCAAGAGCAAGACCCTGTCTCTAGTATAAATAGAAAGAAATTAATTGGCCAACTTATATAGAAAAAATTAGCTGGGCATGGTGGCGCATGCCTAGTCCCTGCTACTCAGAAGACTGAGATAGTAGGATTGTTTGAGCCCAGGAGTTTGAGGTTGCTGTGAGCTAGGCTGATGCCACAGCACTCACTCTAGCCTGGGCAACAAAGTGAAACTCTGTCTCAAAAAAAAGAGTTATGCCTTATTCATAATTTTTAGGAAGATAACTACTGTGACAGAGAAACCCAAAGTAGATTTGTGGCCTTTTAATCAAATTATCTAAGGGTATCTATCCTAGTCAGGATGATTTCTAAATACATAACTAATAAATGTAAGATATACTACTACCTACTTGGGAATGGAAGATGGCCAGATAGATATGTGTTCAGCTGTAATATCATTCACAATGTCCTCCTTAAAAAAAAAAAAGAAAAGTGTGATTTAAAAAGAAATTTCTTTCAAATATTTTTTAAATACTATGAGTGAAATTATGAAATACTGACCCGAACATTGTGAAGTTTCACAAAGAGTGACAAAATAATACTCAAAACCAATGGTTCCTATGAGAAAGAAAACACAGAATCCTTAGTGTGTATATACATTATATATATATATTTTTTAACATTTCTCCTAGCAACCTCAAAGACACCAAGTATTTTCTTTCAAAAGATCCTTACCTTTTTAAAATTTAGCATCTGCTTTAGTTTAGAGCATACTAAAGATCAACTTCACTTTTAATCTCATGAAAAATAAATCTCAGCACACAATTTACATAAAAATTATCATATTTAGATTTCTGGCTTATGCTATCTCCAAAGCTCAACTTGTCACATGATTTGAAATTGAGTAACTAGATCTCTTTCAATTAGTACTTCCAGCTACCTCCAAAAAATTTTGACTTTTTATTCCTTAATATTTAAAGGATGAAACCTAGGTTAAGTAAGTCCAATAAATAAATATGACATTAATCCTACTAAGGAAAAATTAAAGCTAGGCTTCATACATTAGCCCTATTATGAAAACTTCCTTACAATTTAAAAAACACCTGGCTCATGTTTACTAAACCATGGTAAGGTAAATGCAAAATAAACTTCTCCATTCAGATTGTTCCCCCTCCCCACAATAATAATCACTGAAGATAAGCACATTAACAGGTCCCTCTGATAATTTAATCAACTTTTGAGGCACTCAAGATTTAGTCATATTCAACAAAAATCAGCAATACTAATTAGAATAATTTTAAATAAAACTTACTCGTAATTTTTTGATAAAAGAAAGCAGTTCACTCCTACAAAACACAAAAATTTTTGAATACACATTTAATATCAGAAATTAAAAATAAAATCAAGAAAGTAAATTATAGATGAAGGTTTATCCCTGATGTTCTAATTCTGCAAGTATGAAAAGGAGTATAATATTCTATTGTCATACTAACATAATAACATTTTTCCCACTTTTAATCACATGTGAAGTCTGTAATACTATCCAACATTAAAACACTGATTTTGAATTATAGTTGATATTAAACGATTAACAGTCTCCTAAAATAACTTAGAAACGGAAAGTATTTCCAAAGGTGGCCATGGCAGACAGATCCATCAGAGACAAGCCTCACAGAATTCTTAAGATTGTTCATCTTGGCCGGACGCGGTGGCTCACGCCTGTAATCCTAGCTCTTGGGAGGCCGAGGCGGGCGGATTGCTTGAGGTCAGGAATTCGAAACCAGCCTGAGCAAGAGCGAGATCCCGTCTCTACTATAAATAGAAAGAAATTAATTGGCCAACTAATATATAGAGAAAAAAAAAAAAAAACTAGTCTAATGACAACAAAAACCAGACAATGAGACATATGATTTAAGTGGAAAAAAAACCCCAAGTTGCTCAGTGTAAGTAATATGACACCACTTTACCAAAAAAAAAAGTAACGGAAGGCATACACATGTTAACTGTGCCAGAGGTGAGATTACAATATTGCTTGGGTTTCACACACACAACACACATGTTTTCAATCATTAAAAAAATAAGGGGAGTAAGGAAATTGAAGTTGGCAGAATAAAAAACAAAACTTAAAGCAATTTTTCTTTAAATTGATAGAAACTAAGGACGGAGCTACTGCTAATATGAAGAGGTAGAATTAAGAAGGGAGAAATTACAAGGCAAGGCAAGGATGATTTCAGGTCCATCAGGAAACCCTAGTTCTCAATGAAATGGACCTCGAAATTTTCTATAAGGTCCCCACCACTTAAGGTGGCTCCTTTAAGAAGGGGGCAGGATTGTGACAAAGATAAAAATTGTTTTCCTCCACATTTTGCTAAGAAAAATTTCAAACACAGACATACACACAAATCAAAGGAATAGTTCAATAAATACCTGACACATTGCGAATACTGTCATGTTTGCTTTATGTATCTGCCTATAATACATATATAGTTTTGTTAAACTACATTAGAGTACAGATGTCATGTTCAACCTCAATATTTTGAATATTACAATCATTCTAGAAACAGACATTCTTCAACACCACAACTCCATGATTACACACCTAAGAAAGTTAACAATAGTTTGGTTGCAGAAAAAGATAAAGTAGAAGTACAATAAAACTTTTGTGAGCTTGGACCGCGAGGTGGCTCATAGCCCTGAATCCCACATCTGGGAGCAACGAGGCAGCAGGATTGCTCCGAGGGTCAGATTTGGCAACCAGCCTGGAGCCAAAAGCGAGACCGGTCTCTATTATAATAATAAAAAAGAAATTAATTGCCAAACTATATATAGAAAAAATTAAGCCAGCATGGTGGCAACTTATGCCTTGTAGTCCACTACTTGGGAGGCCGAGGCAAAGATATGCATTGAGCCAGGAGTGTTCGAGGTTGCTGTGAAGCTAGGCTGACGCATCGGCACGCACTCTAGCCTAGCACAAACAGACTCGTCTTCAAAAAAAAAAACTTTGTGACCATATTAGGAAAGGAAAAAAGGAATTATATAAAAATTTACAGAAAGACAAAGCACACATAATACATCATCAGCAATTGTAATTAACAGCAGCACATAAGTGGACACCATAAGGTACACAGTAATAGAGGTATGGCAGGTGGTGGCGAGGGGGGTGGGTATAACAATATATAGTATGAAGTCGAGATGTGTACGCGGATCTGGGGAGATAGAGTCATCCAAGGAAACAGATTGATAGGGGGGAGGGGATATAATGAAACTTTAATCTGTACCCCAATAAATATGCAGATAAAAAATTAAAAAAAAACCCTACCTATGCTACATGAATGGGCACTGAGGAAACACAGTCTAGTAGGATCATTTTGTCTGCATGCCCACCAAACATATTCTTCTCCAACAACTGGGATTGCAATATTTGCAGCTATTTACTATATAGTACAATGCCAGGGCTACTGTAGCTCCTTATCTCCAATTCATTTTCTGCTGTCAGGAATCATATGCTTAGTTGACAGTCTCTAAATTTATTAAATAAATTTAAGTAAAAGAATTTTCAGAGGTCTTAGGCCCCAAATCAACTGAATTCCACAACCATTCTTAAGCACCTATTATGTATGCTGGCGTGATAGAAAACAGAATATAAAAATAAACTGCCCTCAAGAAGCTCACCATCCTATAGGGAAGACAGGTGAAAAAATAATCTAATATAGAGTATTAACACAACAAAAGAAATATGTCAACAGTACAACTGTAGCAGGACCAGTATCACAGTACAAAGGTAGCCAAGAACAGAAAATGATTTACTCATTTACAGAGAAAGGAATTTGGGAAAGCATCAAAGAAACCACACAAACAGGGAAAAGTGGGACATCCTACCTAGCTGAGAGAACAGCATGTGCAAAAGCACAGAGGCATGAGAAATGTCATGTGAGCTCTTGGGTGATGCCAGCACAGAGCTGGCATACAAGGAACAAGGGAGGTATACCTGGAGGAGAAGTACTCACACCTTAAAAGGCCTCATAAGCCATATTAAAAGCCTGCGTTTTTATCCCACATTGTTACTACTATCACAACTCCTCCTCCTCCTAGCTACTTTTATAATTCAAGTGTCTATAAATCCTATATGCCCTTTCAACTCTGATACAAGGTGCAGACTAGACAGTTGTGTATTATTTCAAAAGGTATATTTTAGTCATGTGCTTAAGGTTTTTCCATTCCTTTTTGTGATTATACAGTTTATATTCAAATGAATAAGAAAATATGGAACAGAAAATAAAACTGATTCAACTCACCTAATATTCCACTACCCAGGGATCATGTCTATTAATATCCTTTCAGACTTTTCCCTACACTTACATATACATGTATATTTCACACCAAATTAAAAATGTGGAAACTGCTCCAAATTATTATTATTTTCAAAACACAACCACTTACTCTTGACTTCTATGATTCCTTTTTCCTTGACGTGAACAAATGGGAAAGGGGCCAATTATGGAAGGCAACACGTAAAAGCCTAACCACCAGGTGACATGATGAGATGCCTCAGATTACTATTACTATTTAGCAAGGTCACCACCCATTCTTCCTCTTTGGAGCCAGGTCAGGGAGACTGCAAAGAGCAGTGAGATAGCCTTGCCTAGAGTTAGGCAACCTACAACACAATTTCCTGTGTGTTCCCCACTGCAGAGCCTCAAGCATTCAATACACAAACATGCACCCATCTCTCCTGGTGCACAGCTCCATGGAACTCACTGCTAGGGAAGCAAAGAGGGGAACTAATATATTATCTTAATGTTGAGCAACACGCTACAATTCTAAGTGTAAATGATAAAAACCTTGGAACAAAACAGTTCTCTCATCTCAGAGTTTATTAAAGGCATAATCAGACAAGCATCCTAGATATTAGGAACTCATATCCCAGAAAGTTCACTAAAGAGATAATATTCAATATCTAAAATTCAAAGAAAAGGACAATTCAAGTATGAGAATTTTTATGAACAAATGTAAAGATAAAAAGGAGTGGAAAAAACTAATGAAATCATTATATCTTCAAAGGGTTAAAATGAAATGAGTCCAGTTTTTAAAAGGACACACATGAAACACGAAGAGACAAATAACCAAAGACAAATGTGAAAAAGTGGTATAGTCTACCAAGAGTTTTCCAGGTAAGCATGGACTTAAAGGACTATGTATTAAAGCAAACTGGAGTAGATAAGAATTTTAAAAATTAGGAAATTTGAAGGACTAAATGTACCCCAAAAGAGGTCCTTGTAAAAATGTTAAATAACTAAATGTTTTATTTTGGTTTCTTAACTACAAGACCAGAAAGAAAAGTCCACTACTTATTCAAGGTATATATAATATTAACACATGAAAAAGACAATCTTATGAAAAGCTTCCAGTTTCTCTTTAGTTTTGATATTTTCTACACTCAAAAGCATTTTAGGTTGCAGAGGACAGATGTAATTAAGGGAGAGGAAATAAACAATTTACTATCAATTTACTGAATGAATTATTTCATATGGGTATAAATACTGACAGCAAACATGTTTAATTCATTAACAAACATGCTCTAGATTCAGACATATCAAACTTAGAGCAGTAAATAGGTTCTAAAGAAGGGCAAGGTGTTCAAATGGAAAACAGGTAGAAGTGCATTCCTGACGGCTCCCATCAGTCCTGGAGTTTGATCACATCCATCAAAGCAAGAAAAGTTGACTAACCTCTCACTACTTTATAAGTACACCAAAGTGTCATCTGTTAATTAAATAATTTGTAAGTGCATTCTCATGAATCCTATACAGGGAGAGCAAAATTAAGTGTATGACTTATCAAAAACTATACTTTTAACTATAAACCAGCAAGCATCCAATCTTACACTGTATCATAGAAATTAGACAAGTGCTCGAAGTAATGTAAATCTAAAGAAACAGGTATAATACCATTTTAATAATCCTTTTATTTACATTAAACATGAATTACCTTTACATATGGATTACTCTGAAGCAAAAGTGCAGGAACTTGCAGCATAAGGTATTCATTTTCCCTCCAGTTTAACATAAAAGCAACACACTCCTCAGCTATAACCTGACGAAGAGGAATATCTAAAAAGCAAACAGCTGGAATTATCCTCACAACATTAAAATGGGAACAAAGCAAATATCTGCTCAGATTTCAACTGAATAAAAGAACCAACAGCTACAGACAAAAAACAGAAAAATGCTAACATTTAGTACTTAATTCCGTAAGGTTTAACATTTCCCAACAACAAACTACATGGTTCCCACTATTAACAAAATTCTTTATCCTTTAGGAGCCTAAAACTCTACTGTGTAAATCTTAGATACCTAGTCTCCAGAAATTTATAACTGAAATAAATGAGCAGATGATAATCACACAAATAAAACAAATACAAAATGCTGTGGTATAAACTTCTAGCACATTTACAGCAAATAGGTAAACTATATTTTAAAAACTGTAACAAATCTGAGTTGATATATTTATTCTTTTTAATAATTTTTTCTGATTAAAATGTAACTCATAAGTGACAAGTCATTTACTTGATCAAAAAATATGTACTATACCAGAAATAATTTTAAATAAGAAAATAAGGCGGCCGGGCATGGTGGCTCACGTCTATAATCCTAGAACTCTGGGAGGCCGAGGCGAGTGGATCGTTTTGAGCTCAGCAGTTTGAGACCAGCCTGAGCAAGAGCAAGACCCAGTCTCTACTAAAAAAAAAGAAAGAAATTAGCTGGACAACTAAAAACATATATAGAAAACATTAGCTGGGCATGGTGCCGCATGCCTGTAGTCCCAGCTACCGGGAAGGCCGAGGCAGGAGGATTGCTTGAGCCCAGGAGTTTGAGGTTGCTGTGAGCTAAGGCTGATGCCATGGCACTCTAGCCCTGGCAACAGAGTGAGACTCTGTCTCAAAAATAAAAAAAGAAAAGAAGGAAAAATCTACTCAGACTTGCTTTGAACATTATTTCCTTTGAAATAAGTTATTAAATATATCCTAATATGTTGTGAATTTTTATAGCTCAAAGTATATAATTTCAGATTTCAATGTACTTTAGGAAAAAGGAAAGGAAAACACAATGAATTCTAAATAATAGCATTGAGATTGAAAATGGGGAGATTTATTGACCTCCTTTTCTAGAGTACCTAAATTTCTCAGTCTTTCTAAAAAAATAGTAGTGCCTGTGGCTCTTTATTTATAGCTCACCTTATTCACAAAAAGGATTTGAGATGACAAAAAAAGATGCATAGGAACACGGCAAAATAAAATAAAAATACATTATTTGCATCACTTCCAAAAAAGGAATGACAAGTGAAATTAGTTCCCCAAATGCACACATGTCACTGAGTTCTATACATTTTGCCAAACAGAGACTGAGGCTCTCCAAGGCTTCCTTTAATCACCAGGCACTCATCAGTAATACTGGCACTGTAGGAATGATTCTTATGGGAGAATCAGAATCTAGGGAGGGGGCTCTGACAACCTGAGACAGTGATTTAGAGATTAAATGTCCCTTTAAGCATCCGCAATACAGTGATTCATTAAAAATAAGCACAAAGTCATATGCTTTAACAGCCAGAGTAGGCCTTACATTCAATATTGTTGAAACTGAGGACCATAAGGACATGTGTCTGAATAGAAAATTGCTCTATTATTAGCATCTTTCTTTACAATGAAATTTTACTATTTATAGTATTAAATGTGTACAGTATGATTTAATTGCTATACTCTTAAAACATATAAAATTTAAAAACTGCTTTAACTAAGAAAGGTTTATGACACAGATGACAGTTTATATGATAGGTCCCTTTCATGGTTAAGATATTTATAATTAGAATAGGACACTCATGGTCTGTTCCTAAAGTGGCCACGAGTAAATTCCTGGCCCAGGGCAAATCAGTTTGAGGACATTTTGTGGCTATAATGAGGAAATAAACCATCAACCAGTATATTCAAGGACATTTTGATTCTTTTAACAGAATATTTTAAAATTGCAATATAGTTTCTATAGTGTGAAGTGTCCCCCAAAAATTCATGCCCACCTTGAACGTCAGAATGTGACCTTATTTGGAAATAGGGTCTTTGCAGATGTATTTAAGATAAGGTCATACTGGATTAGGACAGACCCTAAATCCAGGGACTAGTGTCCTTATAAGAAGAGAAGAAACACAGACACACATGAAGGAGAATGTCGTGTGAAGACAGAGGTAGAGCCTACAGCAATGCAGCTACAAAGCCAAAGAACGCCAAAGATTGCCAGGGGCCAACAGAAGCTAGGAAGAAGCCAGGATGGACTGTTCCCTGGAGTCTTAGGAGGGAGCATGGCCCTACAAACACCTTGAATTAGATATCTCGCTTCCAGAACTGTGAGAGAATACATTTCTGTTGTTTTAAGTCACCCAGTTTGTGGTACTATCATAGAAATCCCAGGAAATGAATAATTTCCCTCATTTTTCCCAATATTTTCCAGTGAACTATAAACCCAAACTGTTTAAGGATCACTGTATTGGCGGATGCTTAAGCGACATTTATCTTCTAATCCACTGCCTCTCAGTTGTCAGGAGCCCCCCGATCTCCTAATCTGAATTCCTCCCAATAGAATCAATTCCTACAGTGCCCAGTGATTACGATGAGTGCCTGGTGATTAAGGAAGCCTTGGAGAGCCTCAGTCTCTGTTTGGACAAAATGTATAGAACTCAGTGACATGTGTGCATTGGGGGAACTATTTCACTTGTCATTCCTTTTTTGGAAGTGATGCAAATAATGTATTTTTATTTATTTGCCGTGTTCCTATGCATCTTTTTTTGTCATCTCAAAATCCTTTTTGTGAATAAGGTGAGCTATAAAAAAGAGCCACAGGCACTACTATTTTTTTAGAAAGACTGAGAAATTTAGGTACTCTAGAAAAGGAGTCAATAAATCTCCCCCATTTTCACATCTCAATGCTATTATTTAGAATCATTGTGTGTTTCCTTTCCTCTTTTCCTAAAGTAATTGAAATCGAAATTATATACCTTTGAGCTATAAAAATTCACGAACATATTAGGATATATCTTTAACTAATAAGCTTACAAAGGTAAATAATGTTCAGAGAGCAAGTTCTGAGTAGAATTTTTCTTGGCATATCTTTTCTCTTATTATACTATATATTGCCTCTAGTTGA